ACATGTGTGTGTAATTGTGTATGTGTCTCTGTATCTATCATCTATACGTATGTATGTGTGTGTGTGTGTGAGTGTGTGCGTGTGTGTGTAATTGTGTATGTATCTGTGTATGTATCATCATATACATGTCTATTTGTATGCATGTGTCAGCCCCCGGGTGTGGTGACGGGTCTGATGTATCTCCGTATCTTTCCTCATCTATACGTATACATGTGTGTTTCTATGTGTGTATCTATCTACATATGTGCATATGTGTTATGATGTGGTGAATCAGTCGCTCATCAATTTTTGGGTATATGGAGTTATTGGCACCATTATAAAGCTTGTTCATTTGTCTTGCTTGTGATAAAAAATTACCCATCCATCTTGAATAGAAGTCGAGATATTGGCAATGGAAGGAGGTGGGGTCACCTGATTTCAGAGGTAAAATAAACGAGAAAATGGCCGCCAAATTCTGGTGTCTTACATAGCTTTAGAGACCTTGGAAACAAATAATTTACATTTTTTGTGGCTCTTAGCAACCTTTTTCATTGAAATCTTCACAGAAAATTTTTTTCAATAGATATACAAAAAGGTGTAGAACACCCCCCAAAAAAAATTTTTTTAAAGAATTGCATATCCACCAGGAAATGCCAATTTCTCTGATTTAATTATTTTGACGAGCGCCTGATTTCACCACACTGCCTCACATATGTGGTGTTTCTCTGTGTGTGTGTGTGTGTGTGTGATTCTATCTACATATACACATTTTTGTTTGTATATATGTGTCAGCCCCCGGGCGTGGTGGCGGGCCCAGAGACCAAGTTCCAGCTGAGTCAGCTGCAGCAGCAGTTCATCACCCTCGAGTCGCTGCGGGAGAAGATGCGCCACGTTGGCTTCCTCAAGACGGGCGAGCTCAAGCCTGCCCTGGCCACAGGCAAGGAGAACGACGCCCACTTTGGCGTCAAGCTGGTGGTGAGTTGAGACATCGCTACCGCAGAATTACAAAGTTTTATCTGCAGGGCTGTCTGAATCTACCGATTTTTCTGGTAGTTACTGATTTTGGGCCTGGTTTTCCACCATACCGATAAAGGTGTCAAAATTACTGGATCTGTGAAAGAAAGACAAAAAGGGATTGGGAAACAAGGAGCGTTGAAGGGGTAGAGGTGAAAGATGATGTTGGGTGAAAGAAAATAGCAGTTGGGGAAAGATAGGTTCTGGAAATCTGTACTGTCTGATTTTGGACCAGAATACTTGAAACTGACCCTGAATTTACCTGAAATGGGAGCTTTGGGGTAGGCAGCCCTGTATCTGACATTTTTGGCCGTTTTGAGTTACTACGACCACGAGGTCAGAAAACATATAATGTTCTATTTGCTCTATCGAAATTGTAGGAATATTCGGAGTCGTTATGAAGATATTCAAAGAATTACATTTGAAATTGACATGTTGTGGAACTCAATATTTTTCACTTCAAATTTCTCATAACTAGATACTGAGCAGATAGAACTTTGTAATTCTAGGTTAGCAACGGCTTGTGTGATAGGGAAAAGGG